ACTCTGAAAAAAACCAAAACCAACAACTTAGGAGAACTGCTGGATTTTGCACTAGTGTACTCTTACTCTGCTTATTGCAGAGAAGCACAGTCAGGGTTGCCCATGTATTTGCTGCATGGCTTATCTCTTTTGTCACAGCAAATGGTTGCACACTGACATAGGGACTTTACCAGTGCTGCCAGCTTTGATTTTAAGCTAGAGTCTGGCACTGAATCTCCACCTATTTGAAGTGCATCTGACATTCAGAGCGTCAATGGACATAATTGTACAATATATTAATTGACCTTACTCTATGCTTGGAAATGTGGCACTGGTGCAGAAGTGGTTTCTACACTGGGTAAGTCACCCCAGTCCTCTTCCCTTTAGCAAACACTGCCATTCTTCAAGAGCTGCCAAGAAACAAGTTCCTGGTCTACCCTTCTTACTTAAGATGTCTTCAGAAACTGTGTGTCAGGGACAGGCCCAGCTCACACGGCTTCCTCTAGGTGTTGTAGCTGCTCCCCCTGCTGGTTTGTCTCCCAGAGCTGTGAAGAAGTCGCTCACCCCAAAGTCTGGCCGAGTTGAAAGGCACTCTCTGGGTGGACCTTTTTCAGTTCTTTCAGGATTGGAAATCCAATGCTTTTTCCAGTCCTTATAGGAACTTCTGTAGGTGTCACCACTTTGACTGAAACAGGGCTGAGAGAAACTCCAGAATTCATAGCATGGTATCCATGCATATTTACCCATGAGTCAGTATTATGGTTACATGAAGCATGCCAGATTCTTTGACATTGTGCTAAAGAAGATGGAGTCTTCTCAGCCCTAGATCAGAAACACAGCAATTAAGAGTCATAGTACTGTTTCCTTTGGTCACATTAGGTCACTGGCAGTGTCTTCCAGAAGAACATGGGCTGTGTTCTTCCCAGCTCCCCTTGTTTAAGGATTAAAAGAGAGAAGGACCAAGCTTGAGTACCTAAAACTTCCCTGAATAGCTGGTTGCCATTTCACAAAGACTTCAAGGTTCTGCAGCCCTGATACAAGGGGAGGGGCTGAAAAGCAGGAAGGAATATTGCTTGAAAGATTAAGATCTTTCTATTGGAGAGACCTCTGACTAAAGTTACATTCCACACCACCACCTCATGTACCAACAGCTTTTCTGGATCTCAACTGTGCTCTTATAGCCCTGATCCCAAACGTGGGATTTCCATCGTTATGGTCTGTGGATAGATCCACTCGACCAACTGAGAGTGTCCTTTGGTTCCCATTCAGACCTTAAGGGTCATTTGTGTTTGCTCATTTTATAGCCCTGTCACTAACCTTAACATGTGCAGTAGCTGCCCGAAGTCTCTTATGAAGGATCTCCATGAGGTCCCTCACAGCA